CCAGGACCCTGGCGGATGCAGGCTGCACCTCTCATCCCACTCCTGGATGCCTCCTCGAATCATGCCTCCTCCAGCAGCCTTGCCTTGTTTTCCCTAGTCACAAGAAATCTCTTCTTTTTGGGCCCCCTACCCACTGTGTGTCTCTGAAACTATGGATCAGAGTTTCTTATGTTTGAATATGACTTCCCCACTAAAGTGGAAGCCCCTCAATGGTGAGGAACGTGTCCCACTCATTGCAACATCCTCATTGAGTAGCAGAGACCAGCAGGGGTAGACATACCCGATAAGTGCCTGGTAAAGAAAATAGGAATAGTCACCATTTGGTTCCCCAAAATGCCTTGGAATAAGATATTTGCAAAAAGCTAGGCTGTGCAGTGCTCAACCCTAAGACCATCAAGGCCACCTTCTCCACCATTGCCGTAATCCTGGCTATCGCCTCACCATGCATGCCTCAGGTGATGGGGAGCTCACTCACATGCAGAGAAGCAGCCCCCTGGAAGGACCATCCTGCTTGGGGATGGCATTATCTGTTACTCAACTCAAAGCTGCCTCCTGTAACTGCAACACTCTGGTCCCAGCCATAGCTTAGAAACCATATAGAATAATTCTTCGCCTTTTTCCATAGGACAGGCCTTCAGAGACTTGAAGTGCACATGTCATGGCCCTGTGGTCAGGGCTTTGTGAGAATTTTATCATCCAGGCCAAATATCTTCAAATGGTTATCTGGTAGGGCTCCTGGCCCCTCACTGTCCCAGTCCCCTTCTTTGTGCACAACGCACCATCAGTTGGCTTCCTTATCATGGTCTCTTAATAAGGAAAACTCACCACCAGTGTAGCTCTAATAGTTCTGCAGTGGTCCATGGAAACCCAAGGCCATTATCCGATTCTCTTCCAAACTCACTCACTCAGCACTTCATAATCTCAAGCTCTTGGGGATAGTTGGGAAGAAGAGGAGAGCAAGGACAGAATGTGAAGAAGCAGGTATCCGTGGGGCCGGCCTGGTGGCACAAGCGGTTAAGTGCGCGCGCTCCGCTGCGGCGCCCGGGGTTTGCTGGGTCGGATCCCTGGCGTGCACCGACGCATTGCTTGGCAAGCCATGCTGTGGCGGCGTCCCATATAAAGTGGAGGAAGATGGGCACAGATGTTAGCCCACGGTCAGTCTTCCTCAGCAAA